AAGGAAACTGGAATTTCTGAATTATAGTAGCTGGGATAATTTAGTTTAAATATAAGCGTTTTTAATAAAACAATACTTTAAATTGTCCTTCTTCAAAAAATGGCCAAGCTGACGACATAATTTAATATACGATCGTATACAAATTAAAGGGAAGCGCTTAAGCTATTTTTGGATAGATTAAAGTAGTATTAAGCATGTAAAAATTTAGATTGATGCATTCCAGCTTTAATTTTTACTTTTATTTAAAAGTGCGTAAAAATATGTTTTTCAACCGGAAACCAAATCGGGTACTTGGGTACTAATTGATACATATTGCATCAAATAACTTTTTTTCTGGAAACAATTTTTTAAAATCCTCTCGGATTCTCACGACTTGACTAATTTTATATATCTTTTCAGCCCAGAAAATTTTGTTTTTGAAAAAATTTACACGAATAGTTCAACCGGGGTACCCAGGTACCCACAAGCGTTGCCAAATGTACCGTATTTGTCGGAACGTCCCGTATTCTGCATTAAATTTGAAATGTTCCGCCGGGGCGAGATTTTTCTCGAATCTTCGGAAATTTCATTATTCATTCACTGTATATAAAATAAAAAACGAAACCGCCCATCGACCAGTTGCAAAACCGCCTAAATCGCCGTTGTGGCAAAAATGGGATTTGGTAACCCTGAGCTTCAGGCATCGAGATTTATGCATAAAAATCGTTAAATCGTTATTAAAACAACAGATTTGCAAAATAATAAATAGGTAGAGAAAATACCGCCCATCAAGGCAATGCCTTCAAAGAATAAACCGTTTTTTTGCTTTCCTGTAAAATTTGAGTGCCGTAAGATAGGCGGTTTTGCAATTGGGCGATGGGCGGTTTTGCAAAAACATCGACGATATATTTGTATATACTAAAAAAAGCTGTCCTGAAATAAACGAAATGTATCATAAGTTTGTAACTAATCTGAGCATTATTTACTTCGTTGAAATGGATCACCTTTGTTAATATATTGTTCGTAATTGGGCTTTAAAAGCAAATCCCTTATTTCTCATTTGTCCCGTTAAATTTTTATAAACCCCGTATTTTTGGAACAAATTATGCGTTTGTCTCGTATGGCTGAAAAAAAATTCTGGCAACACTAGTACGCACATACAAAATAGGCAGAAAGATGTATAAATATATAAGGTACACCAAATAATATTGTTTTTTATTTGTTTATTAATTAAGTTGAGTTATTATTATTAATAGTAAAAATAATGTTCGGCTTACTAAAATATCAAAAACATTTTTTTTTTCTTTTTTGGACAATAAAAATAAAAAATTATGAATTAAGAAAAGGTGCACATTTGCAGTCTATTTTTTTCGAATCTTTAAATCTGTGTTCGTATGGAAAAGTAGCTTATGTCGAAAGGATGGCTTTAGTATAAATCGGCATTCGCAGCATACGATTGCGAATGACTCACTGGCGCTAAGCCGTTGAACAACTTTTGGCAAATAAACGTGGAAGAAATAGTTCCGATACTAGCAAGTCAATATTCTTATTAAGTCTCATCCAAATATTCCTTGCCGTTTAAAAAATAAAGGGATTGCTGCATTATACTAAAGCCAACCTTTCGACATAAGCTACTTTTCCATACGAACACAGAAATAAATAAAAAACCAACTGCTTTGAAATTTTTTTTCGATATCATATTCCAAGACGGGTTTGATATCGAAGAATTTCAAGAAAACGAGTCAAAAATTACAAGTTTGGGCAAAATCGATAAGTTTATTGATATACACTTATTTAGTCTAGTGGGGATTGGTGAAGGGATTATAGAGATATAGCCATGCCCATTTTCGAAAAATTTCGTAACTGTCTTATTTTTTGCAAAAATTTAATTTTAAAAACCAACTTTCGACAATTTTTATCCAGTATTTTTGCATATTTCGAAAATACCGTTATATGGGAGGTGGGCGTGGTTATTGTCCGCTTTTGCGCATTTTCAATCCTAACCTACCCTGGCACCAAATTTCCTGGAGATATCTCAATTATTTTCTCAAGCTATCTTGTACACGGATAGATGGCCAGGCGGACGGACGGACAGATATGGCTTAATCCATTTCTCTTTTCGTTCCGAACATTTATGTATACATTTGTCTATATCTATCTCGATTCGTTTTGGCTGTTACAAACAACCGTTATGTGAACAAAGTTATAATACTCTTGTATAAAAATGATGCCAATCGACCATATGAGGTATTTGAAAAAAGGTGTCCTAAGAGAAAAAAATTAAAAATAAAATGTGAGTCTCAAAAGCTTATACATATTAATGTATGTCAAAAGCAAAATCCGATTTTCGGACAATTTAATTTTGCCTAGGCAATAGATAGGAGAAACGAGTTAAGCTAAACTGCGTAGACGGAGTTGGAAGGACGGGGGGCTATTTTTTTGAAGCTCACTGAGGTGTCAATATTCATAATAGAATCTACAAGTTCAGTTTAGGCATAATTGGTTTCCGATAGCGGGCTTTGTTTGATCTAGGCGGTTTATTCTATCGTATGTAAGTAGAACTAGTTTAGCCTAGGCAATTTGTTTGTCAATAGGTTTTGGCCGTTAAAATAGATATATGTGTAACACATTATGTACATACTCGCACTTTCAAATGTAGCGGGAAATATTTCAAGCCCTGAATGTATGCATATGGGGCGTTCTATACCAAAAGTGACCGGGTTCACACTTCATGTGTTTTGCTTGTTTCAAATTTTTAGGGGTTGATGCATAAACATAAATAATAAGTAAATATGAAATTTGAGCTTGAGTAATATATTTTTAAAAACTTTTCTAGCACAAAAACAAAAACCAAACGATTTAATAGTTTTCCAAATATCTCAAGAACGGGGCGGAGAAACAACTTGAAAAAATCACACATACACAAATCAAAATTATCTATGAAAACATATATTGAAAAAAAAAAATTCTTGAAAAATTTTTCACATAAAAATTGTATGATAAAAAAATAGTTTTTGAGAATACATATATTTGAGTATATTATGGGGTGCACTCTACAATAATTTTAGTTATGATTTTTTTTTCACCGAAGTTGAGTAAAATTGAGTACATTCAAATAATAGAATTTTTTTGAGTATGCAGTCTTGTAGGCCATTAAATTTTAGTATAATGAGTGCAAGCTTTAAGCGATTGCAAAACTTCCGCAATACTTTTTTTTTTATTTCTTTGAAAACTGTTTTGCGTATTTTCTTCCATAAGAAAAAAGTGCAAAAAGCCGTCAGCATAAAAAATATTAAAAATCAACGCGATTTCGCAGTAGCTTAAAACTTGCTCTTTATTATACTTAAACTTAAGGGCTACAAGATTGCGTACTCAAAGAAATTCAAAAAATAAATAAAACAAATTTGTATGTACTCATTTTACTCAACTTCGGTATAAAAAAAATGTATAAGTCAGATTATATTACAATAATTATTGTAGTGTGCATCCCATAATACTATGTTCAAATACGGCGCAATACTCCGAGGTACCATTGTGATTTTTTTTTTTAATTTTTTTGAAATTACATATTTTCAAAAACCAATTTTTTTTATCAAAAAATTTGTATGTAAAATATTTTTCAAGAAAAAAATATTTTTTTTTATCATAGAGAATTTTAATGCGTGTATGTGTGATTTTTTTTTAAATTTCTTCCTCGCCCAGTTCTTAGCATATTTGGAAAACTATTAAATCGATTTGTTTTTGTGTTTGTGCTATGAAGTATTTAAAAATTTATTAATCAAGCGCAAAGTTCATATCTAAAAATTTGAGATAAATCAAACACATGAAGTGTGAACCCCGTCCGTCTTGGTATGGAACGCCCCATATATATGCAATGGCCTTGTATCTTAACATGAGCTCATTTTCTAGTTGCTGTACTGATACGCAAAGTTTACTCTTAGCTGTATGGGTATTTGTGTTGCGGAATTGTAAAGGACGCACTTGCAGCTGTTTGCAATTTGCATTTTTAATTTTACCACACCAACGCGACGACGACGGGTTACAAGAGACGTAACCAAATGTGTTTGTACTATGCCGTGATGCTGTCGAAAGTGTTGGCTAAACACACAGGGAGTCTGTGATAAAAGTTATGAATTTAATGTACAATTTTTGTAAGCATGGTGGAGTGAGGGGTAAATATGCTTTTGGAGGTAGATGAGAGCTTAGCAAAAACACACACACACATACCCATAAGCACGTTTGTACGCATTCAAAAATACTCGTTTTCTACGGTATGCAATGCAGTTAAACTCACAAAGCGAAGAGTGAATTTATACATGTACATACATTAATATATATATATAGATGCGTATAAGTAAATACTTTCTCTGGAAGCAATTAAATATTATAATTAAGCTATGCTAAAATATTATTTGGATTTTAAAACTTTGTAGATTACACCAATTTCAGATTTGTTTAAACTGCAAGCAATTTTATTTGAGTTAAGTTAGATTAAGATATTAAAAGTTTAAAATTTGTTTAAAGATACAAGAAAAAAAATGTAATTAGTTAGCGTACATCGTTTTGCATCAACCTGTCGTTTTGTATACTACTTCGTTGCATAAACAAACCAAAAACAAGTTATTATTTCGTATGCAGCATTTTGGGAAAAAAGTAGTATAAATTTTTGGAGCTTTTATAACATGCAGAAAACAGTATATTCTGATACGAGCGTTAATCTTTCCGGATAAAAATTGTTAAAAATTAATAATAATAATAAAATTTTGGCGTTTACAGTTTTACTAAATATTTAGCATATTTTCTCCTCCACTTTTTGGTGCCTGTACATATATTGAAAATATGTTGACTGGGGCGTTTTCCAATCGACTGCCGAGATCGGCCGATCTTCCACTCTAAACATCCACACAATTATACTGCAATAAAGTCAACTTTCCACTTTTTTTTTTGTCATTGCCCATTCACATGTATTCTATGTTATTTCAAAAAGTAAAGGATTTTCTTCAATTGTATTTTGTACTTACCGTCCGGTTACTTGTACACTGAAGTTGAACGTCATGGCCATCACTGCCACCATTATGTCTGCCATGGCTAAAGATACTACAAAATAATTCGTTATAATTCTGTAAATAGATAAGAAGAAAAGGTATGTCAGTAAATTTTGAGAAAAGCCTAAAAATAGTAAATATGTGCATAATTTTTATTGAAAACATATTCATAATTATGCAAGAAAAATCTCGAGTCTCAAATTACACAAAAAGCGCCGAAATAAGTTAACTTAATTTGGAGTTGTGGATTACCAATCTGTACCTATACTGTTTCTCGAGATTAAGACAAGTTTTCGAAATATGCATTTGCAATTTATCGCTATTGAATTAATAAAAAATATTCCACTTAAAAAATCCTCCATAAACATCACTTTTCGATAGGCATAGTAGTTTCTGAGAAATTTATTAATCATTCTAGATTTTGTCTAATGAACAAATTATTAAACTTAACAGAGAAAAAATAAAAATAATAAAAAATTTTTTGTAAATTTTTTCATAAATAAATAAAAAAAAGGATTGAATGGACAAATGAAAATGCGCAAGGATTTTGGAAAATGGAAAATGGGTAGGAAGGAGTGTACATATTTCATACCAAAAATCACTGCGCATTTTCATTGGACCTTTCGAAACTTTCTCTATTTATTCATTGATTTTCCTTGTTAGTAGCTTCATTTTTTGTAAATGAACAGGTCTTTTCCACAATAAAAAAAAAATAAAAAAGTAAATCTCAGTTGAAGTTAAATTTTTTTCATTCATAATTTAACTGAACTGGGAGCAAGTAAAAAAGTCTAAGTATTAAAAATATTTGTTTATCTTTGCGAAAACTACCGTTACAGGGTAAGCAGGAGTAGTTTTGCCCCTATCTGAAATATTTTCGATAGTAAATAGCTATGTTCAGTTAGACTTAATGTGATAAAGTTGTATAGTTATAAGTGGGCGGTACCACGCCAATTCCCCAAAATTCCATAACAATGTTACTTCCTTTCAAGGGATTGTTGTGAGTATTAATTTTGAGTAAACTAGCGCAATAAAATTTCGACATATCGAAGTTTCAAGTATTTCGTAAATTTACCGTTATGGGCGTAACTTTAGTCCATTTTCAAAAATTTTCAAAGTCTTGCTTTTATGTGCCAAATACAATAATTATACCAAGTTTGGTACAAATTCATCAAATGGTTACGGAGATACACATACAAATGTGCTCATAAGTGCCAATTTTTCAAAATATTGTTAGAAACATATTTTAAATAAATTTTTCTTAAACAAGCTTCAGTAGTTATTGATTTATTGAAGACGTCGTGTTCATCTTAATTACCGTTATATGGGCTGGGGCGTGGTTATTGTCCGAGTTAAAAATTTTAAGCCTTTTAGTATGTTTTGCCAAGACCAACAATTGTGCCATGTTTCATCTAAATCGTTGGACCAGTTACCAATATATACACACCTAATCATAAGTGGGCGTGGCTATGCCCATTTTTGATAAAATTGTACTATTCTTAATTATCGCCTAAAAATAATTGTATCAATTTTGAGTGAATAATCTGCGGTAGTTACTAAAATATATTAGTTTAAGTATTTCTGAAAACTACCGTTATATGGGAGGTAGGCACGGTTATAGTTCCCATCTGTCCTACGCTGAAAAAAAGTACACGTACCAAGTTTCGTTAAGATATTTAAATTTTTACTCAAGTTATCGTGTGCATTGACGGACGGACAGAAAGTCAGCAATTTATCGTTTTTCTTTTTCATTCTGAGCATTTATTTATACATTTGTCTATATCTAACTCGTTTCTTTTTGGTTGTAACAAACAAACGTTATGTGAACAAAGTTATAATACTCTTGTGTACTAGTGCGCTCGGGTATAAAAATGACCGGATCTCGAAAAACAGATACGTTGTCTACGATCTTCTCTAACCGATTTTTGTGTAATTTCCATCTGAAATTTGCATTCAAAAATTTAATGCGCTATAACACTGCATATATTTATCTAAAAATTTTCTAATATATCTGAATAAAATATTTCAAGTTTGAATGATTTTTTTTTGAATTTTTATATATTTTTTTTTTGCAAAATGTGAAACGCGCATTTGAATGCAGTTTATTACAGATTTGTATAATGAGCTGGACTTTTAAAAACCAAATAATAAACATTATAAAAATAAAAGAAATATAGCCAAAACTGGTAAAAATAAGTTCCCAGTTAATCTCTTAAAATTAAATAAGATTTTTCGAAAATGGGATTAGAATCACCCACTTATGACTGCATAGGCTTATCTCGGTAACCGCATTATCGATTTCTATAAACCTGGGTTCAATTATTTAATTTCGTCTAAAGTTCTAAGCACATTGAAAACGACGAGCTACTGGCCACAGCTTCCAATTTGTTATTTTTATTATCTAAACGCTTTGTCGATGACGACATGATTTTTTGAACGCGACAGCCACATCATGAATTTGTATGAGTTTGACATAAAAGAAGAGGAAGAACCTTATCTATCGCTAGAAAAATAGAAATAGATCAAAACTGGCCACAACCACAGTCGTCGCGTAGTCCGGTCGTCGCCAAAATAATTACCTGCATAAGAGTACGTCTTAAAATAATTTGACAGATGTGGTCCGTAGCTCGTCGTTTTCATTGTGTTCGGGATATAACTGGGCATATCATAGAAAATATTTTGAATCGGCAAAAAAAACACCCCGGCTTATCATGTAATGGTAGTTTACAGAGAAGTAAAAAAATAGATATTTA